CAAGATCCTGCTGCCTTGACTTCCCTGCCTTGACGTACCCTTGAACTTTCTCCTTTGAGTTGCTTTTGCAAGGGTATTTTTATCACTGCCATAAGAAAAGAAATGAGGACAGTTTAGCACTCAGGAAGTTAACAGGCAGTCTAGACAGGAGCTACTCTGGTGCTCAGGCTGGAAGTGGTCTGCTCCGTTTCCCCAGGTACTCTTCTCTCCAGAGGCAGGAGGAGGGTACTTCTTTCACTGAGTCAAATTTGGGGATGGGAAATGTAGGCAAGTGCTTATGCAGAGGGTTGGGCACCCTGAGTTGAGATTTTATGCTTCAGCAATGAAAGCAGCCAGGAGGAGACAAGGATGTGACTGAGGGTATCCAAACAGACATTCTATTAAAATCCCTACTAGACTGTGGATAAAGTATACATTCCAATTTCAAGAAAACATCAAAGCTAAGAAGATTCAGATTGTTCATTTACTTCTTCTCATTCTTCATTTATTCATTCATTCTTTACTAATTTTCCCTCAGTGGTTTTAGCACATTCACAAAACTGTGCAACTGCCCACCATGAAATTCCAGGACATTTTCATGACTGCAAATGGAAGCCCACATTTATTAGCAGCCATTTACCTCTTGAGCCCACTCACTTCTAAGGCCTGCCTGATAATCCTGTCATGTTCAATAACAGAGCAAGCATTAGAGAATAAAGTATTACAGAAGCAAGATGCTGTAAGTGGGATCGTTAATCAACTAAAGATTTTTTATTTAAAAGGTCCTGTCCTGGGGCTGGAGAGATGGCTCAGTGGTTAGGAGCACTGACTGCTCTTGCAGAGGACCCAGGTTCGATTCCTAGCACCCACATGGTGGCTACGAAACGTCCTTAACTCCAGTTCCAGGGGAATCTGAAGCCCTCTTCTGACCTCCGTGGCATTGCACGACACAGGTGCAATACATGCAGGCAGGCAATACATTCGTACTCATAAAAATAATAAATAAAATATTTTTTAAAAAGGGTCCTGTCCTGTCTAGTTGACAATTTTCTCTTTGACACTACAGAGAAGCAGTAATGGTTACTTTATTAGAGTGGCCACCTATTACCAAGGTTCAAATTCTATCCAATAAAAATGAACTGCCTAGTAGACAGCTTGCAGACCTAGACAGCCAGGAGTCACGTACCTCAAACTTCACAAACACAGAAAAGACTCCATGACATGGCAAATGTATTCATACCTCATAAACCACAAGATACAGAAGAATATTTAGGTTTCTTAGCTGAGCTGTTACAACTTGGAATATAATATGATAACTCTTTTAGAATCTGAAGGGTTTTCAAATGAGACACTGTATTTGTCTAACAAGGGAAATTACAGAAAGATAACAGTATTTCTGAACATTACAAGGAAGGATTTCCTGAGTCACAAAATCTTATGGCAGAATGGGTTGCCTTTAAGGTAGAAAGTTCAAATGCAATCTGGATATTCAATAAAATAGATGCTGCAGAGGTAATTAAAAAAGCAGAGGGTGATCTGACAACTGTGGCATTCCCACACTTGAGTAGTGAGGTCAACTGTGAGGTGTGTTGCAAGTGATCTGTTACAATCATAAAACACCCAACAGTGTGATTTACTGTCATCAGAGTCTGGGTTATCATTACAATACCACTCTTTATTAACTATTTTCTTAAGCAAAAATGAAAGAATCAACATTGCTGGGTAATGCTCATGGGAGAGTTCCTTCCCCTTAGGTATGTTTATAGGCCGAAGAAAGGAATGAATCACAGGTCATGGGGGGGCAGCACAGGAGGTAATGACACTCCTCCTCTGCTTTTAAACTAATTTTAACTACTTTGGACAATCAATTCTCTATATTTTGCACCTGAGAGATACTGGGAAAGACCTGGGCCTCCATCAGAATTCTAAGAAAGGAAGCATGAACCCTGAACAGACTATAGCTGTCTGTATATTTTATTTTATTTTATTTTTTTGTCTTTTTGAGACAGGGTCTCCCTGTAGTCCCAGCTGACCTGAACTCACTATGTAGACCAGGCTGGCCTTGAACTCACAACGATCTACCTGCCTCTGCCTCCCGAGTGCTGGGACTAAAGGTATGTGCCACCACGCCCAGCTGTAATATTTTATTTTTAATAGAAGTTTCATTCAGATGATTTCTATGGGACCAAAGGAAACTATAACTTTTATACAGTATTTTCTTTAAATAAGCATGGCTACAGATGACATAAATATGACCAGAAAACATTATTTGCTCTTTGAAACATTAAACATTTTTTCCTCTAAGTAGGAACTGACATGAACTGGTAACTAATGGAACCTGAACTTAGCCAACCTCATCCCAATCCAAGCTGGACCTGCCCTTTCACTTTTCATCTCCCTGGATGAATGGCCCTGGCAGACTCTGCTGCCACAGACGCCAACCGTAGCAGTGCCACTGTAGAAATGCCTGGCTGACCACCTTGGGCCTTTCCCTAGTCTCTGGCTTCTTTTCAATGTCCTTTCACTGTAGCCCTGCCAAATGCACAGATGTCAACTGTCCTCTTGGAATGCAAGAAACATCAAGCACATAGAAGGGGTCTGATCACCTGGTGCAGTAGTCTACTACTGGGCAGCTTGTGATTTCTGGCACCTCATAATTTTTTTATTGCAAATTTTTTTTCATTATAAAGCTATTATTACCACATTATAAAAATTTGGAAAGTAGAGGAAAGAGGAAAATCACTTATGATCCCATCATCCTAATAAGATCACTATTTGCATTTGGGTGTGTTGCTTACTTTTCTTGAGACTCTCTTGCATGCCGTTTTATGACTCCATCTATTCAGCTTATTTATTCTCGACCTCCTTTAGAAAAGATTTGCAGTGCTGGGTATGGTGGTGTATGCCTTTAATCCCAGCATTCTGGAGCCAGAGGCAAGAGGATCTCTATGTGATTGAGGCCAGCCTGGTCTACATAGCAAGTTCTAGGATAGTTGGGGCTACAGGGAGACCCTGTCTCAAAAGGCCACACACACAATAAAAGATTTTCAGCAATTCATATAAATACATATTATGAGACAGACAACTCCATACAATCCCCTCTCCCAAACAAGCATGCCTTCCTGGCTTTCCAGTTTCTACCTGTGGGTAGCTGCTCATCATCCAGGGTGAACCTGAACACCATCTCTGGTTTTTCTCTCTCTACTCAAAGGCCTGTTTCTGTAAATTCTGCTATCATTATCCCTTCCTCACATCTGTCCACCACTCACGGACCTTGCCCCCATCTCTAGTCCAGGTGCTTATGCCTACATGACTGCAAAGTTTCTCTGACTCATTTCCTGCCTTACTTCCTCTCTCCATCCATCCTTTGCTAGATTATTTCTCTCACTTTGACTGAATTCCTGCTGAACAAAATCTCTGAGGCTTTCCACTGTCTGACACACAAAGCACATTCTTTGCCCCAATCTACCTTTCTGGCTCTATCTTTTATTCATTTCTTCCATGAAGCTTTTGCCTACATACTTGTACACTAGACAGGAAGCTTCTATAGAGTGAGTGAGATGATATTCTTGTAAGTTCAAGAGTTGGAGGCCAGTAGAGATGGAAAAACAGATACTAGACTTCTGCCATAGATAACCATAAAACAGGACAGAACAAGTTAAGCAACTGTTCTCAACCATTCAACCACTAAGAGAGCAGAGTTGTAACCCCATGGGGAGGAAGGCACAGGGTCACCAGGCTTTTGGGCACTTTTCACACTGGTGCTTTGGGGAGTGGACTCTGCACATAAAGCAGGCCTGCCCAAGTCTCTTCACACAGCAGAGATTGCTCAGAATATACCACACTGAGCCAGAGTTTACTTTTGTAAATAAGCTGCTCGAATTTGGGGTTCTAGAAATACAGAATTGAAAACGCTGTGCTGGGGATATAGCTCAGTAGTAGAGTATGTACCTAGCATACATGAAGCCCTGCATCTGATGGGGTCGGGGGAGGGAGGGGGAGAGAGAGAGCGTGCGCATGTGCTGAACAATCTTATCCATAGGTATTTTGGAGGACGGTCCTACTAAAAGAAGCTGAACATTTTTAGGCAATGTGTTCTGTCTCTAGGCCTTGTGCCTACTAAACATCACTGCCTGTTATAGTAAAGGATTACATACAGAGGCTTGTATCAGGGAGATAGGAGATGAACACTTTGAATGTGGGTCCTCAATGCTCTATGGCAGACTGACACTAGAAGGGTACACACACCTAATGGGCAAGCTATCAAAGGCTGTGTTAGTCCATGGCCATCTCTGAGAATAAACTGAGCTATAGCAGTCACTGACACCCTCTAGAGAAGGGGCCAGAAGTAGCTAGAGACTACAAGTAGCACATCTGGGGCATGAGGATAGAACTGATGAGGTTTATTCTCCTCACACCCTTCACACATCCTCTGAGAATCAGCTGCTGCTTTCTTTTCTACTACACCTACCAATGCCTTTGATACTGCCTTTTCTTTCCTAGTAACAGCTCTGAAGAATGTTTAGAGGCCTTAATCTTAATTCACAATCTGTTTGATAGATAAAGAGCTACGAGGAGCAACTGGGCTTCTGTAGCTCAGGCCTGCACAGACATTTCCCACAGGGGTGTGCCTGCTGCCCATGCACAGCAGGTCTTCAGAGAGACCCCTTCAGTGCCCTGAGCTTGCAGGAAACTTCAGTCTCTTGGGCAAAGCCTGGAGGGGCTTTCTTCCTACTGTTCCTCACACCCATGTTGGAGTACACAAAAGCCAAGGCCTAGAAGTAGCTCTTCCTCTCACAACTGCCTCTTCTAAGGCCCATGAAGAGCCCCAGTGAGGGCATTTCTCATTCTTCACCAGAGCCTCCACAGGGGTTCAACCATTGGGTTGTATAGGAAGTTCAGGAATGAAGCAAACCTATCCTTGACCATTGAGCTGTCTAGGAAGCACAAGGAGACCTTGAAAAACACATGGGAATGCAGGTTGCCTGCCATACAGAACAGCAGAGAAATTTCCATCCTACCATCAGTGAGTGGCCTGCAGGAGAGGGCATCATCGAGGTCTCGAGCAGTTGATGGATCAATGGTGAAGATACAGTCTTTTCTAGGAAAGATATAAAATACAGTTAGCACAAATGACACAGATAATAGAAACGCAATTCAGTGTTGCAGAGCAGTGAACACCACTTCATGTTGCACATGTGACTGTTGAAGAGAATGTCTATAATAACTTTCTCTGAGGAGGGAGAAATGTGAGACTGGGAAGTGACAGAGGGTGACTGCCTTCTTCCTGTCTGTGACCTGATATCATCTCCCCCAAGCCCTGAGAGAGAAGAGGTATGGTCAGGGAGCAAGGAGGTGGCTTCCAAGAAAAAGTTTTCCAAGAAGAGCTTTGTGACAAGACACGCCAGTTTTCTTAGTTAGATCCTCTTGAGTGTCCGATTTTATTCTGCTCCCTTATCTGTGGGGTGAATGGGAGTGGGTCCTTCAAGGATCAGCTACAGGTGGTTTCCTGCTCCTTTTCTCATCTTCAGTAAATGGAATGTACCAAAGAATGTTATCTGGCTCATTGTGACATGGGGACAGGATCCAAGAATTAGTGAGTTTAAGGACAGCTGGGACTACAGGGAGACCCTGTCTCAAAAAGACAAAACAAAACAAAACAAAACAAACGAAAATCCCCTAGGGGCTACATAGCTAACATTGTTAACCACAATACAATTCTACTCATAAATAGCCCAAATAGCAGTTTGTGTCCCTGGGAGGGCCACATACATTACTCAAGCTCACCCTCAAGCAGCCCATACCAATTTATCATCACATAGTGTCCTTAGATACATCTCACACTTAATCTATTCAGGGCCAGAATATTCTCATTTTCCACGTAAGATGCCTACCAACCTACCCATTCCTACTCTCTTCTAGACTGGGCTTTAAATGTCACCCAAAAGTGGTTGGTTACCCCCATAATGTTCATGATACTGTTGTACCATGAACAGTCATTATTGTAGCTCGCAGATTTCACAGATGGGTAGGATTACTGATTACTTTTCCACGCAGTAGTGTGCATAGAACCTTCAAGTACTATGAAAACTAGCCAGTGGGGGTGAAACTTCCAGGCTGGAAATAGCTTGATTTCTTCATGTCCTATGACTCAAGTATGTGGTGTTTTTGGCAACAAAGTCTTACCATCAGGTTCTGGAGGGTGACCAGGAACAATGATGGTAGCCTTTAATGTTTGGGGGGAGGATCTACAGGACCCCACTGACCCCACTGGGCTTTTCATTTGATAGCCTATGGTGTCTTGGAGGGCATCCCCCCCTTATAGGGTAGTATGATTTGAACTCCTTTTATATATGTATACATTTATATTTTAGGAAGCGTCTGCAGCAGGTTTCCATATGGCATTTTCAAAGTTCTTTAATGTTACATATCCCTCTCCTCACTCCTTCCTTTACTCTGCCTGCCCATCCTCTACCCCATTTAACCTTTCCTGTTCCACTATTCCTCTTTCCCTGTTCATAACATCTGTGTTCTAGCTTACTTCCTTTAACATCCCATGGCCCTTTACTAGTTTCCCAACCTCTATTGGTACACCAATTATAACATATAATTCTAAAGATTCAAATCTAGCATCCACATATGAGAGAGACTGTGGTGTTTGTCTTTCTGGGTCTGAGTGACCTCACTTAGAATATTTCCAGCTCTATCCATTTATCTGTGAATTTTATAATTTCATTTATCTTTATAGTTAAATAATATTCTGTACCATATTTAAATTACCCATTCATCAATTTGTTATCTAGGTTGTTTCCATGTTCTGGCTATTGTGAACAAAGCAGCAACGAACAAGGATTAGTAGGTGTCTCTGTAGCAGGGTATTGAGCCTTTTGGGAATATGCTGAAGAATGGTATGGTTATAGCATGTGGTAGATCTATTTCTCATTTTCCGAGGAACCATCACACTGATTTCCATAGTGGCTGCACTAGTCTGCACTCCTCCAGCAGTGAGTAAGTGTTGCCCTTTCTCTACATCCTTTCCCACATTGATGCCGGCATTTGTTGTCTTTTTTTTTTTAATTATTTATTATTTTTATTTTATGTGTATGAGTGTATTGTCTGCATGTATCTAAGTGCATCCATGTTGTGTGATGCCTGAGGAGGTCAGAAGAGGATGTCAAATCCCCTGGAACTGGAGTTAGGACAATTGTTAGCCACCATATAGGTGCTGGAATTCAAACCCAGGTCCTCTGCAAGAGCAACCAGTGCTCTTAATCATCTCTCCAGCCCCTTGTTGTCTTTTCTAATTGTAGCAATTCTGACTGGGGTAAGATGAAATCTCAGAGAAGTTTTAATTTGCATTTCTCTGCTAGTTAGGGATGCTGAACTTTTTATTGAATTTTTGTGAATTTTATAATTATATTTTGCTCACATTTAGGTCCCCTCCCCCATTTATACTCCATTACTATCCCTTGCCTAATTTCATGTACTCTAAGACACACACACACACACACACACACACACACACACACACACACGCTGATAGAGTCAAACTTATGTCCCAAATGCCTTTAAGTATGGGTCTATTCACTGGAGTCTGGTCAACCTACCAAGGATCTCACCCTTAAACAAGACTGGCTCTCCCCTCCCCACAGCCATCAGTTGCCAACAGTTCCTTAGGTAGGGCTGGGCTTTCATATCCACCTGCCCACATCCATGCTAGGATTCTTTCTGGCTTGAGCTTATGGGCATGCTGACACCACTGCTGTGAGTTCATATGAGTAACTGCCCAACTGTCTGAAAATTCTGTTTCCCTGTGGTCCTCTATCCCACCTGACTCTTACAATCTTTTGACCACATCTTCCTCAATGATCCCTTGGCCTTGGGAGGCAGAAGTTTGATATAGGTGTCCTATTCAGAGATAAGCATTTTGCAGCCTCTTATTCTATGCATGTTGGCCAGTTATGGTTTTCTGTGTTAATTACCATCTTCTGCATAAAGAAGCTCCTCTGGTGAGAGTTCAAAATGCATTAATCTATGATTATAACAATAAGTCATTAGAAATCAGTTTAATACTATATCTATTTAGCAGAATAATAGTATTAGGCTCTCCCCATGGCCTGTGACCTGTCTAGTCACAGGTTCCTAGGCCTCCTATCAATGTCAGGTATGGGCTCCATTTTATGAAGCAGGTCTTAATTCAATTAGAAAGTGGTTGGTTACTCTCATAATATTTGTGTCACTATTGCACCAGTGGGTATATCTTGCCAGGCCAGTTGTTGCAGCCTTCAGGGTTTACAGCTGGGTAAGGGTGATGATTAATTTTCTCTCCCAGTAGCATGCGTAGCACCTGCAAGCACTATGAAAGCTGGGCAGTAGAGGTGAAGCTCTGAGGTCAGTATCAGCCTGATTTCTACTTGTTTGCTCTATAACTCATGTATGCAATGTTGAACACTTAAAAAAATATTATTCAGCCATTTTAACTTTTTCTTTTGAGAACCTGCTGTTTTAGTTCCATGCCCCAATTTTTAATTGGGTTGTTTGCTCTCTAGGTGTTTAGTTTTCTGAGTTCTTTGCATACTCTACACACTAACCCCTATGTCAGACGTAGAGCTGGTAAAGATTCTTTTCCATTCTGTAGGTGCCTCTTCACTCAAATGATGGTGTCTTTTGCTGTACAGAAGTATTTTAATTTCATGGGTCTCATTTGTACTTCATGGGTCTCATAGGTATTAATGCCTATGCTACTGGGGTACTACTGTTCAGGAAGTCCTTTCCTGAGCCTTTTAAGTTGAAGTGCATTCCCTACTTTCTCCTCTAACATATTCAGGCTATCAGGTCTTATGTTGAGGTCCTTGATCCATTTAGAATTTGTGTGTGTGTGTGTGTGTGTGTGTGTGTGTGTGCGCGCGCGCGCATAAAGTGAGAGATAAGGATCTTGCTTCATTCTTCAACATGTAATTGTCCATCCAGTTTGACCAGCACCGTTTGGTGAGGATGTTGTTTTTTCTCCAATATATATTTTTCACCTCTTTGTCAAAAAATAAGGTGGTTATAGGAGCATGGGCTTATGTCTGGCTCCTCAATTCTATGACATTGATCAATATGTCTATTTTAATGCTAGTACCATGCTCTCTTTATTCCAATAGCACTGTAGTATAACTTGAAATCAGGAACAGTGATATCTCCAGCAGTGTTTTTATTGTTTTGTCTACCTTGGGACTTCTGTGTTTACATATGAATTTTAAGATTTTTTTTTTCAATTTCTATGAAGAATTGCATGGGAATTTCATGGGAATTGCAATGACTCTATAGGTTGATTTTGGTAGGATGGAATTTTCACAATATTAATCCTACCAATTTACGAACAGGGGAGATCTCTCGATCTTCTGGTATCTTCTTCAATTTCTTTCTTCAGTGTCTTAAGGTTTTCATTGTACACGTCTTTCACTTCCTTGGTTAGATTTATTTTAAGATCCATAAATACGTTTTGAGGCTGTTATGAATGGGATTGCTTCCCTGATCTCTTTCTCGTATATGTACCACTGGTATATAGGAAGGCTACTGAATTTTATGTGCTAATTTTATATCCTACTTCTTTGCTGAATGTGTTTATCAGCCCTAGTTTTCTAGTTGATGGAGTCTTTTGGTTCCTTTATGTATAGAATCAAATCATCTATAAATATGGACACTTTGACTTCTTCCTTTCCTACTTGGATCCTCTTTACCTCCTCTTGTCTTATTGCTTTAGCTAAGACATCAAGCAGTACACTGAACAAGAATGGAAAGAGTGAGCATCCTTTACTTCTTCCTGATTTTAGTGGAAATGTTTCTCTAACATGATGTTGGCTGAGGGCTTGTTGTATGTTGCCTTTATTGTGTTCAGATACGTTCCCTGTATCCCCAGATTCTATAGCGCTTTTATCATGAAGGAGCTGGATTTTGTAAAAGGCCTTTTCTGCATCTAATGAGAGATGTTTGTGTGGTTTCTGTCCTTGAGTTTATTTATGTGATGGATTATATTTATTGATCATGTATACTGAACCATCTCTGCATCTCTAGGATGAAGCTGATTTGCTTATGGTGGATGATATCTTTTGGATA